GTCACGAGGCCGACATCTTCGTCGGCGCCACTAACAGGGATGTAACAGCTGATGAGTGGTGAGGACTCTGGTACAAAAATGTTTTTTTTTGTGCATCACCTAGGTGGGTGGTAGCCTGGGTACCAGTCAGTTTGATTTATCATTCCACTCCTTGTCATGCTAAACATGACACAGCGTACAAGGTGTGGAATGTTAGCAAACAGGTTCTGGATTTCAGGTGGGTGCTTCAAATCAGAGGTGAAAGTAGTGACTTAACCCCCACATGAAGTGAAGGTCTATGAGAATTCTCTCTCTTCCAGTATTGTCTGTCTGAAACTGTGAGTGGGAGAAGAGTGGACAGGCTGTCACACTCGCACCACCTCTCCTCTTTGTCTGTCACTGTCAAAGCCTGGTTAGTGGTACCAGCTGTGCTCCTGCATGTGTGAGGGGGAGGGTGGGGGCTAAGACAGCCAAAACCCAGGGAGGTAACACTGACAACATGGAGAGCAACCTGACTCACCCCCCTAACACACACACACACCACTCCAGACAACATATTATTGAACTCATCAATAGATAAATGATCAGCTCAATGTCTATTCCCCCGAGAAGCCAAATATTGACTCTGGTCTCTCACTTGCAATTTCAATGACAGGGTATCTCAGCAATTTCAATGACAGGGTATCTCATTAAAAGAGCACGGTCCAAAGTACAAGAGCACACTGTAGGACTGAAATCCTGGAGGACGGGATAGCTGCTTGAAGTAGCTGGCTCAAATAGGGAGGGAAAATAAATCAGGCGAGACTTTTACCGCCATTTTCCTGTTTATGTTTAAGATCACTTCCTCAAGGCATGGTGCCTTGTTGCATTACATCTTTTAAATGATAAAACCTTGGATGTTTTTCTTGTCATGATTTTCTAAATCTATATACAGTGTAGCAAAGTTCAGGTGTGAAGTTTAATAATAAAAAAAGAAAAGATACAAAGTCTCAAAATGACATATGGAGTTGGGTGAACACCTGCTAAGTATTGTATTAATATCAAGGGGACATTACATATCAGTTCCTCTACCATGCGGAATTATGGCAAACCAGGGGCTAATTCAGGAAAGCACAACATAACACATTTATACTGAGAAAAATATAAATGCAACTTGTGTTGGTCCCATGTTTCACAAGCTGAAACAAAAGTTCCCAGAAATGTTCCATATGCACAAAAAGCGTATTTCTGTCAAATGTTGTGCACAAATTTGTTTACATCCCTGTTAGTGAGCATTTCTCCTTTGCCAAGATAATCCATCCACCTGACAGGTGTGGCATACCAAGAAGCTTATTAAACGGCATGATCATTACACAGGTGCACATTGTGCTGGGGACAATAAAAGGCCACTAAAATGTGCAGTTTTGTCACAACACAATGCCACAAATGTCTCAAGTTTTGAGGGAGCATGCGATTGGCATGCTGACTGCAGGAATGTCCACCAGAGCTGTTGCCAGATAATGTCATGTTCATTTCTCTACCATAAGCCGCCTCCGTCATTTTAGAGAATTTGGCAGTATGACCAACCGGCCTCACAACCGCAGACCACGTGTAACCACGCCAGCCCAGGACCTCCACATCCACCTTCTTCACCTGCTGGATCGTCTGACACCAGCCACACGGACAGCTGATGAAACTGAGAGTATTTCTGTCTGTAATAAAGCCCTTTTGTGGGGAAAAACTCATTCTGATTGCCGGGGTCCTGGCTCCCAAGTGGGTGGGCTTGGGAGGGCATAGGCCCACCCACTTCGGAGCCAGGCCCACCCATGGCTGCACCCCTGCCCAGTCATGTGAAATCCATAGATTAGGGACTAATTAATTTATATCAATTGACTGATTTCCTTATATGAACTGTAACTCAGTAAAATCCTTGAAATTGTTGCATGTCGCATTTATATTTTTGTTCAGTATAGATAGAAATGTATGGTGCAGAACTAACATTATTCTCTGTCAATAAAAGCATCATGTCAGCTCTATACGTTACATTTCTATCTGCAATGTACTGAATAAGCCCTGGGAAAAACCTCACAATAACATCTACTTCCAGGTCAAGGGTGGGTAACTTCCTATTCTGTGAACAGACAACTCTGAATCTCTTGGCTTTCAAGCAGATGGTTGTACACAAACAGAGGTTCAATGTGGTGGTGGAGCATTCAAAGGTAGGTACCATCACGCAATATGCATTTACACATTTCTACAAATAGAGTTATATTTAAAATGAGGTGATGAGATGCTCTTGCTTGTGGGTTAAGAGGTTGCTTTGTGTGCTGTTTGCCTGTTGTTGTTGTTGTCCAGTCTAGGACCAGTTACAGCATTAAGGTCTTAAGTGGACTGTCCTTCTCCTGTACCTGGTAGTCACAGCCCAGTGGAGGTGAGTGCTGAGGTGATATGGTGAATAACATTACATCCTGCATTCCCACAATCCCTTTTATCACAGAGCCAACTTCTCTAGAAGCAGCTCTCCGTAAGCCTAAAATACAGACCTGTTTTGTACTAACATTCCACTCCTTGTACTCTGTGTCATATAATAAACATAGCATGACAGGGAGTGGAATGTTAGCACAAACAGACTCGTTCCCAGGCTAGCTCTCTATGTGATGTTATCAACATGTCACAATAACTGGCCTTCCAGAGGGGGGTAAAGGATGGAAGGCTGTAATCCCCAACTGGGGGGATATGAGGTCAAGAGGCCACTGTGTTGGTGGCTTAGTTGGTAAAAAAGCATGAGCTGGCGCACACCCATAGAAAGGTATTTTGTGTAGAGGTGCTGACTAACTGTGAATAAACTGTAAGCTATAAAAACAAATAGAGAGTTGCACACACACTATATATATATATATATATATCTATCTATCTATCTATCTATCTATATCTATATATATAGATATATAGACACACACACACAACCAGTCAAAATTATTAGAACCCCTACTCAATTCAAGGGTTTTTCTTTTATTTTTACTATTTTCTACATTGTAGAATAATAGTGAAGACATCAACAGTATGAAATAACACATGGAATCATGTAGTAACCAATAAAAGTGTTAAACAAATCAAAATATATTTTATATTTGAGATTCTTCAAATAGCCACCCTTTGCCTTGATGACAGCTTTGCACACTCCTGGCATTCTCTCAACTAGCTTCATGAGGTAGTCACCTGGAATGCATTTCAATTAACAGGTTTGCCTTCTTAAAAGTTAATTTGTGGAATTTCTTTCCTTCTTAATGCATTTGAGCCAATCAGTTGTGTTGTGACAAGGTAGGGGGGGACATACAGAAGATAGCCCTATTTGGTAAAAGACCAAGTCCATATTATGGCAAGAACAGCTCAAATAAGCAAAAAGAAACGACAGTCCATCATTACGTTAAGACATGAAGGTCAGTCAATACGGAACATTTCAAGAAAGTTTCTTCAAGTGCAGTCGCAAAAACCATCAAGCGCTATGATGAAACTGGCTCTCATGAGGACCACCACAGGAATGGAAGACCCAGAGTTACCTCTGCTGCAGAGGATAAGTTCATTAGTTACCAGCCTCAGAAATGCTTCACAGAGTTCAAGTAACAGACATCTCAACATCAACTGTTCAGAGGGGACCGTGTGAATCAGGCCTTCATGGTCGAATTGCTGCAAAGAAACCACTACTAAAAGGACACCAATAATAATAAGAGACTTGCTTGGGCCAAGAAACACAAGCAATGGACATTGGAAATGTGTCCTTTGTTCTGGAGTCCAAATTTGAGATTTTTGGGTTCCAACCACCGTGTCTTTGTACGGATGATCTCTGCATGTGTATTTCCCCACCGTAAAGCATGGAAGAGGTGGTGTTATGGTGCTTTGCTGGTGACACTGTCTGTGATTTATTTAGAATTAAAGGCACACTTAACCAGCATGGCTACCACAGCATTATGCAGTGATACGCCATCCCATCTGGTTTGGGCTTAGTGGGACTATCATTTGTTTTTCAACAGGACAGTGAACCAACACATCTCCAGGCTGTGTAAGGGCTATTTTACCAAAAAGGAGAGTGATGGAGTGCTGCATCAGATGACCTGGCCTCCACAATCCCCCGACCTCAACCAAATTGAGATAGTTTGGGATGAGTCGGACCGCAGAGTGAAGGAAAAGCAGCCAACAAGTACTCAGCATATGTGGGAACTCCTTCAAGATTGTTGGAAAAGCATTCCTGGTGAAGCTGGTTGAGAGAATGCAAGAGTGTGCAAAGCTGTCATCAAGGCAAAGGGTGGCGATTTGAACAATCTCAAATATAACATCTATTTTGATTAACACTACCATATGTGTTTTGATATCTTCACTATTATTCTACAATGTAGAGAAAAATATATAAAGAAAAACCCTTGAATGAGTAGGTGTTCTAAAACTTTTGACCGGTAGTGTATATAAACACCCAGTCATTCACTGGGTAAAACACCAACGTTTTGGCATCACTGTGCCTTCTTCAGGGTCAGTGATGCCAAAACATAGGTGTTTTACCCAGTGAATCACTGGGAGATATATATATATATATATATATAGTGTGCAACTCTCTATTTGTTTTTATAGGTGGCTTAGTTGGTGCCATGCCATAAAAATAGAATACCACAATACAACTAAAAAGCTGGAGATGGGTACAGAGGGTTTAATCTCCTTGTTTAGCAGAGGGAGAGGAGCAGTAGCATGGAGAAAATGCAGAGTTTGAATATCGCACCATGCGTGACTATCTTTGTCTGCATGTGTCTAACCTAAAAACGTAGCTAGGTTGGATGGGTCAATTCATGCCTATAGAAACTAAAAACGTACAAAACATTCCCTTAAAACATGATGCAACATCCAAACTTTTCATTCACCCAGGCCAATTGCAGTGGTCGTCTCAAACCTCTAAGGTTGGATATAATAACACAATGCTTTTCATGACTCCAGCGTGTAGGGGGGATGGATGCTAATAATAAAACGGTATAGGTCTAGACATGGCCTGATATGCGTTAGGTCCTCTTGCTGCCCAGTCTCTTAAAGACATTGACCGACCCTACGTCCATCTGAGCCCCAAAACTCTCCCCTCCTCCAGCCCTGGTGCTGCTGCTGACCTTGGGGCTAGCCAGGGCCAGGCCTGGCCGGGCCTTATTTCTGGTGCTGGTCACCCGGCTGTCCTGGGTGTCGGTGGGCGGTGGGGAGGCAGGGGGCTTGCCCAGCCTCTGAAGCACGCTGAGCTTGGCAGGCGGGAGGCCATCGGGGGAGGAAGAGGAGGAGGGAGAGTCAGTGGGGGGGAGTTTGAACTTCCCTCCTAGGCGGCGGAGGGTGGTGGGGGCCAGCCTGGGGGCCACAGGCTCTTTCTTCTGGGAGGGAGGGAGTCGCTTGAGGACGCCAGCGTACTGTAGGACTGAACCCTCTCCATCTCTACCATCCTCCTCTTCCTCTGCTCCGTCTCCATCAACCCTTCCTGCTGTTCCCTGCTCCTCCTCCGCTCCGTCTGCTCGGCCCAGACGACTGAACACACCCGTGGCCTGGAGAGAGACGGACCATGAGAGCAGAGAGGCCATGCTCTACCTAACACTCAATGTCACTCACATTAGACACACATGTAACGTGTCAAAAGAGAGGGCTCACCTTGCTGCTGCCTGTGGTGGTATCTGCCTTGGACTCGGCTCCCAGTCGCTCAAACACAGACATCCGCTTGTTCCCTTTTTATGGGTAAGAGAGATAGAGTTAAAAAGAGAAATATACTGTCACACACAGAAATGTAAAGAGACACACAGAAAAAGGGGGATGGTGGGTTCTAGTGAGGGATAGGGGAAATCTTTATCATGTTAAGAGAAAGACATTCCAAGCCCCATTTCCTTTAGATGCATCTGTCCATAATATTAGTGGGATGAGCATTAAAGGAGGTTGAATGATTAGTCTTCTTGGTTCACCCTGGCCAGAAGGTGAGGCCCTACCTTTCTTGGCCTGCTGGGCCAGGATTCGGGCGGTGCGTGCCGTGGTGCCTTTGGGCATGTTGATGATGTACTTGCCTTCCATCTCTGCAGTCACACGCCGACGCTTCACTGGCAGACCGTTCCCCTCGTCAGCAGGCCGGCTCAGCACTGGGAAAAAGAGAGAAAGGATGGGGATGGGGGGGAGAGAGAGAGAGGCAGAGAAGAAAAAGGGAGATATTGTGGGAGGGAGACGGAGAGAGTCAGTGTGACACATCTATGCTAGGAAGTTTGCGCCTCATGCTACAGCAGATAGAGTGAGAGAAGGCCAGTCCACACAGAGGGTGGAACAGGTGGGTAGCTACCTGCTTTGCCACTCTTGGCCTGTTTGTTCGACACGGTCACAGAGATTGCCCGGTTGTCAGGGTGATGGGCTGGTGTGCTTGGCGGTGAGTCGTGGCTCAAGGCGTTGGCAATCATACGCGTGGCGGCTGCAGAGGATTATAAACATATGGTGAGCATTCTGGCACAGAATTACCCAAGTGGGTGCTGCTACTCATTGGTGGTGGAAGGGGTGACTTATCACAGTGTTAATCCCTTTGAGAAAAGCTCTACATAAAAGGCAAATCACTGGTATGACATTCATAACGGTTCATTGATTTGGAATTAAAATACTCACGGGTGTTGGCAGTTCTTCGGAGTTCGGTCTGAACGCTGGACTGTCCTGAGGTTATGGCCTGTGTGGCCATTTTGCACATGTCCTGGAGAGGGGAAAGGGGAGGGGGGAGACAGGCAGCACTGGAGTAACTGCTGTCAGAACTGCATTAAAAGCAGCAAGTCTTTTGGCAAAGCACCATATCTCTCTCGCATGAGCTGTAGTGCTGCATTGGAGAAAGTGCTCCCAGGATGTGCCGAAAGCTCTTTAAATTAATGATACAACAGGGAGTGATGGTATCTTTCAGCCCATCATTTCTCTAGACCGGTGGTCTACCAACCTGTCGATCGCAATAGACTGGTCGATCTTCAAGGCATTCCCAGTGGCTCTGAATAAGAGCATACTCTACATAAGCCTTTTCCTTACCTGTCGGTAGACCTGTTTGGCATGTTTGAGGATGGCAATAATGTCACCGATGACAGTGATGCCCAGGTCCATCATGATCTCCTTACTGAGGTCCATCAGCATGTTCTTCTGGATCCTGCAGAGAGAGAGAGCGCACGAGAGGGGGGGGAAGAGCGAGATAAATATTTCATTCCTACTAATAAAAGAATGGACGAGAATTTGTTCTAAATTGATGGTAATTATTCATGACTTGGATACCAATAATCAAATAAAAATGCCTGACAATCTTTCATTTTGAGGTAAACTGTTCCAGGCCAAGGAGTTAAGATGGCCTTTATTACCTGTTGTCCACAAAAGACACGGCATAGTTGACAGCCAGACCAGCAGGGATCCCAGCATCCTTGAAGAACTGGATCCACTCCGAGGTGGCTGAAAAGACAGAGGGAGGGGGTGTCAAAAACAGGTCAAGTAGCTGATGAAAACAAACACCTTGACTTGAATTGCTGAAGTGTGTCTTAACTTTTAAGAGCTATATTACAAAAGTGATCATCTTAACATGTATTTTGACCAACATATTTTTTAATGGCAATACTAAAAACCATCAAACGTATTGACCTTCAAAGTTCAAACTTAAAGCCATCTGATTAGGCTAGATCCAATGGAAAATGCCAAGTGGACACCCTTGGGACCGGACCGCATGCTGAAGTCAGTCAACACATGCTGACCTGCCAGCTGGGTGTTATTTATAAAACCATGATGGTGCTTCTTGTGGTGAGAGCGAAATTACACTGGGGTTCATAGACACATTTGATATTGCCAGTGTTTCCACCAGAGCAATACTTTCCCCGTCAAAGCGGGTCAGTGAGGTGGAAAGGACTTCATTTTACAGTATCAGGGACAACAAAATGGTTTTTGAATTAAACTGAGTGGTCTCTGGTTAGCTAAATAGAGGGAGAGACAACAGGCAGCTAAAGTCAGTCCCAACATTTGGGCCCTGGTTGCAGTGTGTGGGCTACTCGTCTGGAACACATAATGTCACTACTTGCTAACTAAACTAGTTAACCAACCGTTCTGTCTAGGTTTAATGTCACGATGGCCTGCACGAAACGTATGATAATGTAACAAGGCGACCTTTCGGTAGTTGTTACGACTAGCGATCTACCTACCCTCCCCTGCAGCACGCTAACGTCAGCAAGCTAAATGTGTAGTGTGTGGATGTGGGCTAGCTAACTAGCTACTACTAGTTGACTTGTTAGCCAATTTAGCTAGTTACTGTGAATGAAAATGTTAGCTAGATTAGCTACAACTTCGTACCCATCAGCCAACTCGGTGGCGCCAATGATTATCTAGTAATCAGTCCCACTTATGTTCGTGGTAAAACATTTTTTACTACAAACAATAATGATGCACGAGCAATTTCGAATAGTTAACGTTAGCTAGCTAACCGGCTAACGTTAGCTACATTCTAGTCGGCACTTGACCGTACACACTATGCTTGCTAGGTAGACATTGAGAAAACGGTATCTCTACATTCCGAAAAATAACTAAACATCCTTACTCCGTATCCTAAGAATAATTGTTAACAATTAAATGTTTTTTAGTCTTTATAAGCAATCTTCCACGTCATCTTGGCCCTTTTATGCCACTCACCTGTAGTTACGGACGCCATGTTTACAGAAGAACAGCTGCATCCAGGAGAAAGCTCCGTTTGTGACGTAATTTCCGTTGCATTTATGAAGTGGCATATTTTCACCACATGAGTGCAGTGTAACCCTTCAATCTACAGCTATAAATTGTCGTTTCTTTTTTGGAGACATTTCAGTGACATGACATTTTATGATAGAGATGAGGTATGGGGCGACACCAGTTGAGGCTGGTGGGAGGAGCTATGGAACAGTATCAAACAGATCAAACATATGGAAACCACGTTTGACTCCGTTCCATTTATTCCATTCCATCCTCCACAAAGAGCCCATCCTCCCAAAGCTCCTTCCACCAGCCTCCACACACACACACACAACAAATCACCTTGACAATATGTTGCTGTTTATTGAATGCCATTTTCTCGACAATAAAGATTTGGACGGTAATATAAACAGTTATGGAGGGGATAGCTCACTCAGCTTTCACAGTCTATCAACAACAACAATGAGTAAAGCACCCCTCCGTCAAGTAAAATAAGAGAGAATGGGGAAGAGTTAGAATGGGGTGGACACAGAGAGAGAGAGAGAGAGAGAGAGAGAGAGAGAGAGAAATATGACAGATATACTGTCATAACATTTGGTCCATTTGAAAAAGATAGACAGTACTGTATATAGTCAGAGGTTAAATTAATTAATTCAGAAACAGATGCAAGAGAAAGTTATTGAGCATTACATTTCATCAATTATTATACTTATTTTATGCATTGAACAAGGACAAATGTGTAGTTATCAATGCACCATCATTAGATCTATCACTTGAGTAAAGGTATTTGTACCACTGACGCAGCACCCTTTCAATATCCTCCAATAAAACCTATTTAGTTTTGGGCCTCACCTGTTACAAATAGTCTCAAAATGTCTTGAGTATAAATTCCCTTAAAATGTCTGTGTCCATTTTCATTAGTCACTGCTGATCACAACAATGCAACCGTTGCTTCACAGAAAAAGACAAACATATGTTTACATATACAGTCAGAAATAAACTTTATAGAGAAGGCATTCGAGGAAAAGACAAAGGTTCTATTGAAGGAAATAACAAAAATATCAGTCACAAGGCATCAAAGGAAAATGCAAAGAAATTGAGGGGTTATAAATATTTCTTTAAGATTCATATATTTATAATCAAGGTCTGCCCCTCAACCTCCACTCAATTAGGTCAAGACCTCTTGGCCCAAACATAGATACTGGGCTATGTGAATGAAACGTCACAGTACAGTTTATAACAGGGGTTGAAAATCACAGCAAAACATGAGCACACTGGACATAGCGTAGAAGAAAGAAAGTGCCAGAAGACTTCTGGCACTGTGTAAATGAAGCTCTTCAGATTATTTACTACATGTCTATCCCAGAGGATATGAGTGTTGCATTTCAAAGTTTCAATTTCAATACATAACATTGCAAATTTGTAACTCATGGAAAAATAAAGCATTTGTCAACCACGCAAATGGTAAAATACCTCTTGTCTGTTTCAGTCAGTCATATCAGATATTTGTATGGAGGCAGGTTCACTGATACAACAAGGTTACATAGTTTATTTCATCATTGCTACATATGTCCATGGCCCATCTCAACTTTGATTGTTAGAAAAGGAAATTCAAAGATGACACCCTCTCAGTTCTCTCCCTCTGCCACCTCAATCCTCCTCTCTCTATTTCTCTCTCTCTCTCTCTCTCTCTCTCTCTCTCTCTCTCTCTCTCAGCAGGCCTCCAGTGATGGTGTGAATAAACAGATCACATGAGGGAGGTGGTGTGAGGGCAGTATTGGCAACCAGCCTGGACACTGCAGAAAATGCCACTTCCTGAGATGAGAAAAGAGAGAAGGGTAGGAGAGGAGGGGGGTTGACAGTGAGCAAGCATCTGCAGGGCAGACAGACACTCTTGGATCGTACAGATTAGAAAACTTGACCTATGTGAACTGGACCTCATTTCCTGATCTGTCCAGTGCTGACATAGGTGCGTATTCTTCCAAACCAGTAACCGGGTTTACAGGGTAAGACAAAAATGACATAACATTCTCTGAGAGAATGCATGGTTGGGATTCAAGAAATCAATGCAACACTGTTTAGGGTGTGAAATAATAAGAATATCAACGGCATGAATATTCAAACATGCTCTCGTTCAGTGGAAGAACCATGGTATTGTTATTTTTGTCCAACTCTGGAGACTCTTCCAATGATTTTGATGGAACAGGAACCATGGACCTCAACACTGATAAGTTGTAAGTGAACCTGCCAGAACAGGATGTTCTATGATAAGTTCATCTGATATACTATAAGTACCACCACAAAACCATTCTGTACATGAGCCATACTTATCCAGACCGTGCCATCTATCAGTGTAAACCACTTTCACACGTCATCAACAATGCCATGGTAGGTTCATGGAAGGAAATGAAAAGGCATGGAAGTTTGTCACTCAAAAAAGGCATATGAGGCCTGTCCCTTGTCTTACCACTTGAAGCCTGGCACTTAAGTCAAATGTTTTGCTTCACAATCAAAATGGATGGGCCCTCTTTTCAATTCACAACTAAGACTTTAGCCCATCTAATGATAAGCAAAACAATTGTGTATCTATCACACCTCCATTGATATTTAAAGTTATGCAACAATAACTACTGTGAGGTGAATTTTTGTTATGAGAGCAACTCTCGAAAAGCTCTCCAAAAATGTATGTTGATTGAATCACATGATAATAAGCTACTTTATTGAACAAGAATGCAAACTGGACTCTAACAGACTGTTCTCAGCAAAAACATTCAATTAAAAATTAATACTTTAATATGTATTTTGACATTCAATTCATATTAGTTTCCTCATTTTGTGTCCGAAGGGGACTAAGTGGTGACATTAAGCTTTGGCGGTATAGGTATTGGGACTAACCTCACAGAGAAAAACAAACAAACAGGCAAATGTAAAAGCCAAGGCTATAGCACCACCTCAATAATCTCATCATATTGACAGACTGCAATACATACAGTATCATGTGTTAGATATAGTTATCCTGAATAATGTGCTTTATATATAAAACATATGAGCACAGGCAGTGATAATGTGCGTCATGTTGAGGGAATGGTTAAGTATTGTCATTTTTTATAATTATTTGTTCTTTTAGAAAAATATCAATTTTAAAACCAGCCTCAACAACTGCACCTCTGTTTCTTAATTGACAAAAATATCCCATTTATATTTTCAAACATTCATACTTCACAATCATTGTACATACACTTAAATATATACATTTTCTGTATGTATATGCATATGCTTTTTAAGTATACTTTTGACACATATAAAAACATGTTTATAGTGCACAACATGCCTCTGAAGTTGCCAAAACAAAGATAAAAAATAAAAGAATAACACAATAGTTACAATGCAATAATAATAGTAACACTAAGGGGAAAATCTCACCCTGAAAGAACAAGAACCTCTGGCAGCGACTACACAGGTAAGAGCGGAGGACAAAGCAAAACAAACTAAAAAAACATAAAACATAACAAACGTCACTTGAAAATAAAAGGAAAAAATTCACAGGCAAATGAAGAACACATACTCATAAACACCACCTCGTCTTGTCTCCTCTGTGTATCCGGCTCTGTATTGTGCTCTCTCATCATGTCAACCTCAATCAATAAATAAATAAGCGGGCCAAGTGGCTCAGAGTGGGATACACTCACAATAAATGCACCTCCCACAAGGGGAGGCACAGAGGCCACTCATCCCAATGTTCAGAGGTTGGTTGAATATTCCTTAAAAATACTATTTTTAAAAACATATTGGTTACCAACAGACTCATGTCTGACAAAAGCTCTTTACAAAAAGTACATTCCTCTCTCAAATTTTTTTTCTCACCATATTTATCTGTCAAAGGTAAGACTTAAACACAACAACAGAAAATACTTGGTGATAAAGGAGGGTGAAGAACATTATACAAAAGAGTATCAGTAACAAATGGAGGATAATTCAGATGCTTGAAACCAATGGTATGAGTATTTGTGTGGACCCAGGGTGAAGAGGCTTTGCAGTATGGCAGTGGAACTAGGCAGATAAGAGGTAACCCATCCATACAGTTGGCAAACGCAGGATGTTTTGGGGATTTTTTAAATTCAATTTAGGCTTAAGAGTACATGGGGCTCATCCTCTCCCTCTCTCTGCCAAAGTTTCAGCTCTCCCTCTAGACCTCTACCTCGGCTAAAGCCTCTTCTCACACTCTCCCTCCATCCTCATCTCACCATCACAACACAAGTCTAATTTCATCTCCATCATTTCAACATCCAACAATGGCTCAGGAGAAGAAAGACAATAGTGACAGCTTTTGCATTTGTGTCCATCAAATTTGGTGTCTTTTCAATGTGTGTGTGTTTTTTTATTGCTTTTGTCTGCTTTGAGCGGAACACTCCAGGGCTCCTCAGTGGGTGGTGCGTCCATGTCCGTGTGGGGGGACGAGGGGGACGTGTGAGGTGGGCCGGCGCTCAGTCAAGGTCCCAGGGGCTGGAAGGGCTCGGCGTGCTCTCAGGGTTCGAATACTTCAAGGAGACAGAGAGAGAGACACAGAGGAGAGAAACAAGATGGAGAGATGGACGAAGACGGCAGGATAAAAGGAGAAAGAGCCAGATAGCTGGAGGCTGTGACGCCCTCTCCTTTCCAAGTCACAACTAATGACGAAGAAGCGAGAGGAACCGAGGGGATGAAGAAGGCGGCGGGGAGAGCAAGAGCTCAGCAGTCTGGCCTCACAAAAAAAGACCCAAACCTAAGTCCTTCTTCCCTATTTCAGCTTGCACAAATACATTCAGCATGAAGAGAGGGATGAAACAGATGAGAGCAGGAGCAGTGAGAGAGGGATGACCTACAGAGGGAACGAAGGGGAGGATAAGTGTGCTTGTGGGATCGCAGGTGAGCGTGTTACTATTTACCGTATGCACTGTACGTGCACGTCACAAGACGTTGAAAGATTCATTGTGAATTAAGCTGGGTATGATGTCAGAGGATGTTTTACAGATTGACTGACAACTCAGAGCCCAGAATTTTAGACTCAATTTGAATTCACTTTAAATACTTGATTAGTTAGGTTTAGTTTTCTCATAAGGACAACAGTGGCTTATATGCACTAAATGCTATGTGGCCAAACTTGGTTTGATTTCATGTTTACTTGGTCTGAATGTGTGTGAGTTTGTATGGATCATCATATAATGTATGTTTGTGCATGTTGTTGACCTCGTCTACCATGAGCCACTGGTCTTCGCCGTATGTAAGTGATTGACACAGGGGGGGGGGGTGCGTGTGGTGTGTGTGTCTGTCGGTCAGTCAGAGTGCGAGCAGCGAGGGTGAGTTCAGGGAATCAGAGGACTGCTCACTGCTGCTGTTTCTCTGGTTAGCGCTGACCCCGCAGGCTCCCTCTGGGTAGCTGAACACAAATGAAGATGTGTATGAAGGGTTGTAGCTGCCAGCGGCCGCGCCATCATGGTGACCACCACCCCCACCGTCGGCCACCAGGCACGGCCCACCCGGCGCAGGCTCGCTTGAGCCATAGAAAGAACTAGAAAACGCTACCTCCTGCATCATCCCCGGCTGCGGATGAACCTGCTGCTGCTGTTGCTGCTGTTGAACCTGCTGCTGTTGTTGCTGCTGCTGCGAAGAGGAGGGCTGCGAGGTGTAGGCGGGAGGCAGGTAGAAAGTGTCCTCCACAGTCAAGCCCACGATGGAGACGGGGGCCTGTAGGGGCAGTAGGGGCTGATGCTGGAGCTGTGTGGAGCCAGAGGCCTGCTGCTCCTGGTAGGGGATCTTGCAGCTGGGCTGGTGAGCCACCAGGACAAACTCCAGGCGCTCCTTCTCCTTCTGCAGCTCAGAGATCTCAGCCTCCAGCTCAGACTTCTCCTCCTCCAGGATGTCAGTCTCCTGTGGAGGGAGGGAGGAAAGGAGAGAGATAGAGAGAAAGAGAGAGAGAGAGAGAGTGAAAGGGGGTAGAGGGTTAGACAATACAGATGTTCTAATTCTATGTCTGTGGAGGTGGATGCATGGCTATCTTTCTAGATCAAATCAAATCAAATGTTATTTGCCAGATGCGCCGAATACAACAGGTGTAGACCTTACAGTGAAATGCTTACTTACAAGCCCTTAACCAACAATGCAGTTTTAAGAAAATAAAAAAAGTGTTAAGTAAAAAATAGATAAGTAAAAAATAAAAATAGCTAATAATTAAAGAGCAGCAGTAAAATAAAATAACAGTAGGGAGGCTATATACAGGGGGTACCGGTACAGAGTCAATGTGCGGGGGCACCGGTTAGTCGAGGTAATTTAGGTAATATGTACATGTGGGTAGAGTTAAAGTGACTATGCATAGATAATAAACAGATTAGCAGCAGCGTAAAAGAGGAGGTTGAGGTGGGGTGGGGGGACAATGCAAATAGTCTGGGTAGCCATGATTAGCTGTTCAGTAGTCTTATGGCTTGGGGGTAGAAGCTGTTGAGAAGCCTTTTGGACCTAGACTTGGCGCTCCGGTACCGCTTGCCGTGCGGTAGCAGAGAGAACACTCTATGACTAGGGTGGCTGGGGTCTTTGACAATTTTTAGGGCCTTCCTCTGACACCGCCTGGTATAGAGGTCCTGGATGGCAGGAAGTGATGTACTGGGACGTACGCACTACCCTCTGTAGATATACAGTAGATAGGCTTACAGTGAGGGAAAAAAGTTTTTGATCCCCTGCTGATTTTGTACGTTTGCCCACTGACAAAGAAATGATCAGTCTATAATTTTAATGGTAGGTTTATTTGAACAGTGAGAGACAGAATAACGACAAAAAAATCCAGAAAAACGCATGTCAAAATTGTTATAAATTGATTTGCATTTTAATGAGGGAAATAAGTATTTGACCCCTCTGCAAAACATTACTTAGTACTTGGTGGCAAAACCCTTGTTGGCAATCACAGAGGTCAGACGTTTCTTGTAGTTGGCCACCAGGTTTGCACACATCTCAGGAGGGATTTTGTCCCACTCTTCTTTGCACATCTTCTCCAAGTCATTAAGGTTCTGAGACTGACGTTTGGCAACTTGAACCTTCAGCTCCCTCCACAGATTTTCTATAGGATTAAGATCTCGAGACTGGCTAGGCCACTCCAGGACCTTAATGTACTTCTTCTTGAGCCACTCCTTTGTTGCCTTGGCCGTGTGTTTTGGGTCATTGTCATGCTGGAATACCCATCCACGACCCATTTTCAATGCCCTGGCTGAGGGAAGGAGGTTCTCACCCAAGATTTGACAGTACATGGCCCCGTCCATCGTCCCTTTGATGCGGTGAAGTTGTCCTGTCCCCTTAGCAGAAAAACACCCCCAAAGCATAATGTTTCCACCTCCATGTTTGACGGTGGGGATGGTGTTCTTGGGGTCATAGGCAGCATTCCTCCTCCAAACACGGCGAGTTGAGTTGATGCCAAAGAGCTCGATTTTGGTCTCATCTGACCACAACACTTTCACCCAGTTCTCCTCTGAATCATTCAGGTGTTCATTGGCAAATTTCAGACGACCCTGTATATGTGCTTTCTTGAGCAGGGGGACCTTGCAAGCGCTGCAGGATTTCAGTCCTTCACAGCGTAGTGTGTAACCAATTGTTTTCTTGGTGACTATGGTCCCAGATGCCTTGAGATCATTGACAAGATCCTCCCGTGTAGTTCTGGGCTGATCCCTCACCGTTCTCATGATCATTGCAACTCCACGAGGTGAGATCTTGCATGGAGCCCCAGGCCGAGGGAGATTGACAGTTATTTTGTGTTTCTTCCATTTACAAATAATCGCACCAACTGTTGTCACCTTCTCACCAAGCTGCTTGGCGATGGTGTTGTAGCCCATTCCAGCCTTGTGTAGGTCTACAATCTTGTCCCTGACATCCTTGGAGAGCTCTTTGGTCTTGGCCATGGTGGAGAGTTTGGAATCTGATTGATTGATTGCTTCTGTGGACAGGTGTCTTTTATACAGGTAACAAACTGAGATTAGGAGCACTCCCTTTAAGAGTGTGCTCCTAATCTCAGCTCGTTACCTGTATAAAAGACACCTGGGAGCCAGAAATCTTTCTGATTGAGAGGGGGTCAAATACTTATTTCCCTCATTAAAATGCTAATCAATTTATAACAATTTTGACATGCGTTTCTCTGGATTTTTGTTGTTGTTATTCTGTCTCTCACTGTTCAAATAAACCTACCATTAAAATTATAGACTGATCATTTCTTTGTCAGTGGGCAAACGTACAAAATCAGCAGGGGATCAAATACTTTTTTCCCTCACTGTACATGTTTCCCCCTTGAAATAGATACTTTAGCCCATGATAGGACTGGTAAATTAGACTATACCAACTGTAGGCACAATATACTGTCACAAGCACTATAATCATCTTCGCTCTCTTCAACTAATAACCCCCTTCTCTTAATAACCAGCCCCTTAAATAAAATTGTGTTACTATTACTCACGTACACAGTCATTATCATGAGCCTAGTTATGAAGCGTAACACACTGTATATAATTATCACCATAAGTCATTTTGACAGTAAGAACCCAGCCAAGCTCACCCCCTGCAGTCTGTCAGTGAGTTCGCGACGGCGGTTTCGGCATTTGGCGGCTGCCAACTTGTTCCTCTCGCGTCGAACACGCCTCTTCTCCTGCTCCTCTGGAGTCAACTGGAGGAAAATAACAAGGAGGGATCAAAACAAACACAAACTTGGTCTTTGCCGCTTTCTCTCTAATGCATTTGCATTGACTCTCGCTTGCTTAGAATGACACAGCTGTATCATCAAATACAGTATCATTAAAAATATGGTGAATGTGTTCATTCTTGCTGTCTATCCATTTGACAAATAAAGATTGACACACAGGGCACACACTTACAAACACATCAACATCTCCATCGTCACTCACAGACTCGTCTCGTACACGGCGGCTACGGGTCCTGGACTGGCGGATGGGGCCCGGGGCTGGGCCTGGCCCCGGGGTATCAGAGCCTGCGGGAGTAAAGCCTGAGCCAGAGGAATAACTGGGCCCTGGCAGATCATAAGGGTCTACCAGTGACACAGACTGGGTCATAGTAGAGGTCCCCGTCCCACTCTGGCCAGAGGCCTGGGACGAGATTAGAGTTGGCTGCACCATCCACTGCAGGTCCTGGCTGCTGGTGATGGCTGTGACCGTGGGCACAAAGGAGCCTGGCATATCCACTCCTCCACTGCTGCCCCCGGAACCACTGCCTACCCCTACCCCGCCTCCAGCAGACACACAATCCTGGAACACACAGAGATGGAGGGGTTAGGCATGAACACAGACAGAGAAATGTGATGCTGCTATACAATGCAATGACAACAAGTGACTTTCTCTTTAAACATTGCTTTGTGAACTATTTAGATGTTGATTTCCTTGAACATAAGATATCATAGCAAAAGATTGCATAGCCTTGACGTCCATAAGACACACACTTTCAGGGTACAGTTTGACACACCCATTCTAATTACAAGTCATCTATAAACAAACGTTGAATAAACTGCCACCATTGCAAACATTTACCATGTGGATAAGAAGCTGACAGGTATAATGCATTATGATACTGTTATAAATGCATTGTAAGACTAGTCATAAGCATGTATGTCCCCCTTATAATGTCATGATCTCATTATGATCCTAACTTAATAAAAACCAATTTGTCCGTTGAACACTTGCTACATATAGAGACATAACACATTTATAACCCTTATAAAAACATCATAAAGGCTCATACAAGCTTAGAAGAAGTAATACAGTGTATCAGTACAGTTCACTCTTATGGAATGATAGAATGCCAGTGAGAGTTCGAGTCTCCCAAAATTCCTGCACAACAGATGTTATAAATAGATCACTGCAAGAATAGATTTAGGTGCCCAAATCTATCCCTGGCTCTCTCTGCTTTAATTAGAACTGAGGCGAGCAGTGATCCCATAGTGGAGTCGCATTAATATGCATATCAAAAAGTGTAAGGCAAGGGGACATGCAGCTTTGAAGAGGCCGTCTCAACCAATCAACTCGCTTGAATAAGTCCCCCCTCCTCCTTCGTCCTCCCCCGTCACACCCCCGGCGTTCCCTTAGCAACGCGACGTAACACTCCAAAATAGAACGCATTTACGTCACAGCGAGTCCTGAGAACAGGGAGCATGGAAAGAAGCGAGCAAAGGCGGAGCTTTTTGTGCGTACGTAGGAGTGCCAAACCGTTGTCATCCGTTGCGCGGCATGCTGTAAACGTACCACCAAAGACAAGACACGTTGCTAGTAGCAGTGGCACAGCCTGAGTCAGAGAACATGCCGGCAGCCCAGCCTTTACTACAATAAAATTCAAGTGCCTGTAGTTTTCAAGGACATCGGCAGCATTTTGTTCGCATGGTTGATCAGACGTGAAAGGGACCTTTCCCTTTCATAGAAACAATGTAATAACAAGCTTATAATTATGATGATACTCAGGTTGATAAATCCAAACTCTGCATGGTATAACTATAATGCGACAAGGAATAACCGCACCAGCATTTGCAAATGCTACTGAACTGTAAAGCATCATTCCATTTTAATCTTAACCTATATTCCTGGAATACAGCCCACGGCCACATCATCATATACAACATAAATCATACTTCATGCATTATTATATAAACATCTATCAAATTAAATGTTGCCTCAATATTATAATAATCAACTTCGGAAAGTGGGGGAAAAGGACACATAAGCTCCCTTTCTCCCCTGATACTCATCATTGGTTGACTTATTGGACCTACCTGTGAGGCACTGGCCGGCGGGCTCCCGAAGGAGTCCACGGAGGAAAGGTACTGAGACTCAATAGACGGGGACGAACTTCCACGGGAGACAGAATCAAAGTCACCGGGGAACCCTTGGAAAATGTCCCGGGCGGAGCCGAGAGAGAAACCTTCAGTTCCCGGAATGAGTGTGATGTCACCTGCTGTTCGAGCGCATACACAAGGGAAAGGGGGAGAGGGGAGACAGCTGTCAGTTTGATGTCATTAAATTGCAGTCTCATGTATCTAGGATATGGTCAACAGTAAATATGCATAACTGGAAACCTTGCTTTATGTGTAGCCTACATGTATATCAGAAATCACGTAATAAGAACCGCGTTGCTGCATTATCTAACATTCATGTTTAGAAAGTATTTTACCGTTAATGTGTTCCTTACTGTGCTCCGGTAAGATGTTTTTGGTCTCTTTCCAAAAAAGTTTCATGAAGAAGGCAATCCAGTTCCCTGCTCTGGAAACTGTCCTTACGTTCCGGATTTTTAAAAACTCATTGATTCAATTCAGAATCCGCTAAAATATGTCCTTTGTCCCTTTTTACAATGTGCAATTATAGATCCATGTAAAAGTCCACTATGTGTAAACTGATCAGCGATATAGAGTCACAGTCCACAGAAGCGAGTCTTATCTTAAGAATGAATCCATGGAGCACGAGCGAAGCATTGTAAAGGATACGAAGTCCCGCCTAGGAGTTCCGCTGACGTACGTGCCCATTTATGGGGTTGTGTTTTTGTTTGGTATCCTTGGTAATGACGTTTAGCTAGGGATTCCCTCTCCCACAGAAACCGTACAGCAGCGGAGAATAGAAAATGTTACTATCACAGCCACGAGATATTTCTAACCAAGAAACAATTTCTGATAGTACATTTAATGAAACAACAAGTTATGACAATTTTTGTGTGCACTTAGTCAAATTATTTATTGTAAAGCAGATTAAATGAAAATCTAAATGCACTTGTTCTTAGTGTTTTGGAGGTGTCTGCTCATGTAGCGTAATAATTATTTTGTAGACTCAGTAAACAGCCTAAATATTGTAGAGTTAAGCTCCAGATCAAGTAAAACTTCGAGGGCTAGTTTAGCCCATTGCCTAATGAATATGTTAAACAATAAAACAGGTAAGAGACTGTCTGCCTATATATATTATTATTATTTGCATATGCCTAAAGAGATAAATGAATATATACATGAATATAGATCTAGCATGTAGGTTAGCAGATATATAGCCTAGTATATACTGTAGGCTATAACCTAGTGACAATGAAATGGGAAATTACTGAAATTACTTCTAGGCTATTGAGCAACATAATTGAAAAGTAGGCTATGGGACAGGCTACTTCGTACTGGCACTATATTCAAGTAGGCCTATTTAGACCGGTTGGCCATTGTAAACATATGCACATTCCATTGTCGATTTCTTACGCAATTATGTTGCTTTGACATCGCTCACAAGAGGAAGGAAACCCACCAGGCAAAGAGAGGAAATCCTAGAGTAAACTTTCTCACGGACACGCCCTCGGGAGTTCCCTTTCTTTGAGAGGTCGGGAACTGTCTGAACGATC